GGCCGGGGGGTGGACAGGGACGGGGGCAAGGACGAGGATAGGGATAGGGATGGGGACAGGGATGGGGACAGGTGCCGGTGCCAAACCGGGGGGAGCGGCGGCACCGGCGGATGGACAGCATGGGGAGGAAAGGAAGCACCACGTGTGCGCCTGAGCACGACACGCCTCCTCGGGGGTTCTTCTCCGGCTTTTTTTATTTTTTTCTTTAATTCTTTTTATCTTTTACTTTACTTTTTGTCTTTATTTTAAATTTTTTTTTTAAGATTTATTTCTTGTTTTACGCATATATTTCACCGTGAATACACACGTATGGCCCCGGTGCTGCCGCAAGCGCAGCCCCAGCAGCCGCGGGCCCGGGGACTCGTGGATCCCCGCTCGGGAAGGATCAGCATGGATCGAGGGAGGGTCTTGCTGGCCCCATTAGCAAATCCGGGATGGGAGCAGGATTCCCTGTGTGCTCTCGTTCCCAAGGAACAGGGTGTAAACGCACTGAACTGATCCAGGCTGGAAACATCCCGGTATATGCAGCATGAAGATTTATGTTCTGTTGTGGAAACATCCCGGTATATGCAGCATAAAGTTTTATGTTCTGTTATTTCTGTGAGGTGATGTCTGTGTTTCCATGACTGATACTCGGGAGCATCAGAGGGAATAGAAGAAAGCTGAGTTATGTTTCAGCACTTGTGTGGTTGCAGCTGATTCTGTGTAACCCATTTGGGTTCCCTGTTGCCTCCACTTCATGGTATATCAAAAGATTTTTTTTCTACGTTTTTCCAAAAATTCTACTTGGAGCTGTATATTGGCACCTTAGAACTAGGAGCTCAGTGGGGTCCCTGGAGACAGCTTAGGGCTGGCAAGGCCAGTCTGAAGCTCTCTGCACTTGAAAGTGCCTCATTGCACAGTTTCCACATGGATGCGTGTTATTCCTATACCATATATATATAATATAATGCATAATCTATGTTTTATGTTTCATTTATACAAAACATGTATTTTATGAGCTGTTTTATACATTATTTTATTACCACATATTTAAATAATACATTATTGCATATTACATCTATAATTTATCTATTAGTATGTATTTTTTATGTATATTATATATATATGGCTTTGGGGAACCAGCTGAACCCAAGAGCTAAGCTGCAGCTGGAGTGTTGGTTGGACTGCAGTGAATTCCTTGAAAAGACTGTAGAATGAATATGGTTTCTTGCCTTTCTGAGTAGTATTTGACCCATTAGCCGCATCTGACGGAGGGAAGGACACCTAGAACAGCCTTAGAGGGTCAAGCCAGGGAGGCAAACAGTCATTATCCCATTCCTGATAATTAACACAGATCTAGGGACTGCCTGGGGTCTAGGATGGTGTACATCATGTACCTCCCAAGTACTTTCTATTTCTTAGCACTGGAGACTTTCTAAGGCGGACTCTTTTTGCTCAGCAGTGCTCTGTACACCTCACTGCGAAGTGCAGATTCCTTGCAGTTTGTGGAAGGAGCCACAAGAAGGGCAGGAGTGCCCATAACTGAGGGAGAAGGCTGCAGGTTCAGGCACTGCTTTAAGACACTGTGAAACCATCGCAGGGAAATTGCTCCGTTGGGCTGTGAACCTTTTGCATGTTAAAATCAGCACACCGTGGAATGCAAATGAGTAAGAAACAAGGGTGACTAATCTCTAGAGCCTTTAGATGTACTTGCTGTTAGGTACTATCTAAACTGAAAGAAACAAAGATTAACTTCTTTGGGCCTGGAGAAAAAAAATGTTCAGGAGAGAGGTTTTGTTTTTTTTTAACTTATTTATTAATTAGCAGCTTTATACCCATTCAGTGTTCTGAGAGGGATGAGGCTCACAGATCAGGCAACCCAGGTAAGATGCCCTAACCTGAGGAGTTGAGAATGTGCTGACTTCTGGAAGAAGTGCTGGAGTTGACCTGATGTTCAGGGCTGTCAGGTGTTTTAGAAGTAGACAGGACTGCTCTGTGTGGTCTGTGCTAAGGCTGAGGAAGCTTCTTCAGAGTGCCAGAGCTCTTAATTTTCAGCAAGAAGTTAAACTCTGTGGAAGGCACTGAACTACCAGATGAATCAATGAAAGAATAGTGAACAGAAATAATTCATAATAAAAGAGGGAAGATTGCTGGGGGATTTCCTGTCTGACAGAACTGCACTTACTTGGGCCTAGATCTTTACAGGATTTTTGTAATTTCCACTGAAATGTGCCTGTGTGGATCTGGTCCATTGAGAGTATCTAGAATAGGAAAAAATGTAACAAAGTCAGTGATAGCTGTGTCAAAGCAGCCCAACTCCCAAACAAATGCTAAAAGGCTTGCACTAAAGTAGCTGTGAGTGGTTGTAACATGCTCCCACAATACACAGAACAAAGTTGCTGTGCATAGGGACAGTTACAGTTCAAGCCCTAAAGCCAAAATCCTTCTCAGGATAGGATTAAGGTATAGAAGGCCTTCAGTTGTGGGTGCTGTGGTTGCTAATTCAATGCATTCAGTTTTTAAAATTACCTTACTTTAATGGTTATTATTTGCCACTTGTGGCTGGGTACAACACATAAAGTTGAAAAACAGAAAACATAAACTTGAAATTACTCTTTTGAGGATAAGAAAATTGCTCTCATTTTTGGTAAGAATCTTTTGTCAAATGGGTACAGGATTGCCTAGGACACTTAAAAAAGCTCTGTGTGTATGAAAAGCAACCCCATGAAAGTCTGTGTTTTCTTCCCCCAGAGCACAGGAACAGGCTGTCCAGGGCAGTGGTGGATTCAGTGTCCCTGGAGGGATTTAAAAGATGTGTAGATGTGGCACTTGGGGACATGGTTTAGTGGTGGCCTTGGCAGTGATTATCTGAGAGGTCTTTTCCAACTTGAAGAATTCTGTGAACTCCTGAGCCACATTTATAGGTAGCAGGTGATGCCTTTGTAGGGTTAATGCTGCTTGTGAGGTTAAAACTGCTTCTTACCCCTCAGTATGACACATATAATTCCCTTAAGAGAGTTATTAATTTTAATATTGCAATGAATATTAAATCAGTGAATTAAATTGTTTCATATTTTATCATAACAATACTGTCAAATATAAGTTAAATTTAAAATTAATGCTTAATACTACTGGACACATTGCTTCCTACATAGCATTTTGCATATTTCTTCACTTCCTTTCTTTTTAAGCAATCAGGACTACTGTGTTTGCAGGTGTTTTTGTCTGAGTGATAACTGCTTTCAAATAATTTGGTCCAAGAAGAAGGTGCACAATTTAGGTCTTGCACTGGGTCTCAGGCTTTTTGACTGGCAGACCCCTGAGACAGTGATCTTTATGGAGCAAATTTAAGCTTACTGAAGATGGTGAACTTTTCAAAGTGATTTTTCATAAGATTGCTTGGCAGTATTTAATAGGGCATCATTTGAAAATAGCTGTGGTAGGTCATTGTAGCTGCCTTGTAACAATGTACTGTTACAATTTTACTAAACAGAAATTTGGCTAATGTAAGGAAAAATCCAGTTCTTGAGCAGGTGTTAGTGACTTTCCATGTAGTATTTTACTTCTGGAATGTGAAAATATATTTTGCTGTTAAAATTCAAGTGTTACTACATCCCAAGATTAACTATCGGAAATATTTTTGTTACAGTTGCTCAGGCTCTTTGACTGTAAAGTTTAGTGTAGAAATAAATATGTTGATTGCTAGAAGTTTATTCTATCAAAACAAACCCCTATTGTAAGGAATAAAAGTATTGGTAAAGTGAGACTTGTTAAAAACAACAAAACAAAACAAAAAACATGTCTCTTGTAAAACTATTTCTGATACTCTCACTAAAAATTTCTTTCATACTTGGTGTTAAAAATATTCCAGAGACATTTATCAGAATTATCTTGGTATTCATCTTACCTGTGATTGCTTTGGAATCTTTGTTGTTTCAGTACAAGGTAGAAGCTTACAGTCACTGAATCATTGTTCTATGCCAAATTGCCTTCCAATTAATGTGCTTTCAGTAGGAACCCAGAGAAAATAACAAAGAAGGAAGTAGGGAGCAGAGGGAACTGCATGAAAATATTTTGGTGGAAATGTCTGGTTTTTTCCTTTCATTCAGACTTGTTCTGTACCATAGGTGGCTTCAGTCAGGAGGAGATGCTGAAAATATGGAAGGGCCTTTTCTATTGTATGTGGATGCAGGATAAACCTCTGCTTCAGGTATAGTAACTGAGTTTGTATTTGCATGAGGGAATCCCTCCAAAATACACTCCAGGGACATACTAATTTAGAATGGGGGAAATTTTTTATTTTTTATTTTTTTCCTTCCCCTGCAGCCCATCTGTGGCACATGCAGAAGAGGTGACTGTAACTCAGTGATCTGAACATGAACAGGTCATCTCTGGAGTCACCTTCTGAGGTGCAGCTATTTACCTTGCAAAAGGAGAGCTAAAATAAATGCCTCATGGAATGTTGATTTTGTGTAACTAAAAAGCAGTAACAGCAGGTTGCCCTTAACTGCAGGTGCAACATTTGTGCAGATTTTAATGTGAAAGTTCCACACTTTCTTTTCCTTTGTTAGTTCAGTAGTACTTCCTCTACTACCAACTTTGTTCCTACTGCATACTTTTGTCAACTTCTACTGGTTTGTCTCCTTACTTTCTAAAGATACTGGTTTTGGAGTACCAGCTCTCAGTAACCTCCTCAATTTTCAGATCACTTGTCTGCATGAACAAGGTTTATCTCAGACTCAGCTCACACCCCTCCACAGAGACCTGTATGAGAGCAGTGCCCCTTAAGTTTTGCATCATTTATTAATTCAAATACATGGCGTTCTTCTCATCCTAATTTAATTTTGTCTGCTGTCAGAAAGATGACTGTGCAGAGATCTGGTAAAATGAATAGGTTTTGATACCTTGAAACTTCTCTTCCAGCTGACCTAGTCTCAGTGCAAGGATCACTGCAGTACTAAAGCAGCTGTTGAGAGAATATATTTCATTTGGAGAGCCATTTCATGAAATTCATACTTCTTGCTGTTTGCTGGTCATGTGAGGAGACCAAACTCTAAAACCTGCTACATTAATTATATTTATTTACTTTTAGGAGGAACTTGCAGCGAATATCTCACAGCTTATCCACATGTTTCAGAATACAGAGGCTCGTAAGTACTATTTAATTACCTAATGCTTTGTAGGGTACTTCCCTCTTTGGTGATTCCACTATCACAGTGCCAGAATATAGACAGACAGATAGAGGAGCTTTTCTTCCCTCTTTGTCCAGCTGGTCTGTATGATTGCATTAGGGGAGTCATGAGATGCAGGTTTTTTCTGGCTGCTGCAGGAGAAGAGTTGTGTCTTCACAGTGTGATACCAGTGAGATTTTTCAGGACAGGTAGCAAAACAAACTTGTCCCCTTACTTCTCCATTCTGCATAGACTGTTCTGTGTATTTCCTGCTGAAAACCAGGTAGCAAAACAAACTAGTCCCCTTCTCCATTCTGCATAGACTGTTCTGTGTATTTCCTGCTGAAAACCAACCTTGTTTCATGAACTTTTAAGCCCCTGGTATTCAAAATGCTTATGAAATAGAGTATTCAGTCAGTGCCAAAAGTGCATGGATAGAAATGGGTGCAGAATAGATATTTTGCTCAAACTTGTGTGTATATAACACCAAATAGATACAAATCTGTCCCTGTAATTAAACTGGTTTTTAAAAGTAGCTGTGTGTGTTTTCTTATATTGTTCTCAAGTTTAATTGATTCTTGTACCAGTGTCAGGCCTGTCTTCCCACAGCTCTGACCCCATCACTAGGAGAATCCGAGGGCACTGCATCCCTTTCCTGAGATTCTTTCAGGTTAGCAGAGTAGCCCACTGTGCCATTCATACAGATGTTTTTCCATGCTCCCTTGCAGAACACCTGTTCATCCAGACTTTTTGGCAGACGATGAACCGGGAATGGAACGGGATTGACAATCTGCGTCTGGACAAGTACTACATGGTAGTTATACCTGTCTGGGTGGTGTTTTCTCCTAGAAAATGTGTGGTGCTGCTGTGCTGGAAGGCAGCTCTGCCTGCACATGCATTGATTGGTGTGTATTGTAAGAGAAGACAAGGTATCGTCTTCTTGACACATTGTAAGAGATGTTTGTTTTAAAGGCTTTCACTCATCACTGTGTGAATTTAAAAGCCAGTACAGTTCCTATTGTGCTCAGTTGCTTTCCCTTCTAACACAGTGATTTTTCTCATTGATTTCTATACTGGAATATAAATACTGTCTCAATGGACATGTATCAGCATCAGTTGTTTAGATCAGACTATTTAAAGACTCTTTTATGACTCTGCACTAGAATCCCAACTTTCCACCAGTAAAGTATCCACTGTAATACATTCAGTAGTCAGAATTCTTTCTATAGGAAAACAGATTATTAAACTTAAATCTTGAAAAGCATACCTTTATAAAGAACAAAATTCCACTATCTTCTTCTTTGAAATAATTTAATTGCAGGCAAATTCACTGGTGTTTTTTCTTTCCCAATATCAGCAGATAAAAGTTATTTCAGTAAGTGAAGTGTTTTGAGCCAGTTGAATGTGGCTGTTTTACATGTGACCGTCTCTTAGCGCAGTTTTCAAGTAAATGAAATTATTGTTATTATCTGTCCCATATTGTTGTGTCCCGTTTAAGCTGTGGCTTTTCTTAGATTAAGGCAGCACTTAATGAAGAAATCAGGGGCATGAATCAAGAGAAAGCTTTATAGTAGAAATGGTCATGGATTTTTTGAGCTTAGCATATGAAGATAGTTTGTTGGTTTTTTTTGCTTCACAGCAACTTTCTGTTGCATTACACAAGAGAAAATCTGTCAAAATGTTCATGAGAGGAACTATATAGGTTTATCAAGAAATCTGTTCATTTTACAGTCACAGTGACTCCTTTACCTGTTTTCATAAACAACATGCTTAATGGATTTTGTGCTTTGCAGCTGATGCGTCTGATTTTGAGGCAATCCTTTGAAGTGCTGAAAAGAAATGAATGGGATGAGGGGTAAGCAGATTTTTGATTGTTGTTGACATAAACAAGTCACCCAATATACCTGTATTAAAATATATTTTCATTTAATAGGTTCTTGCTTTCTTTCCACAGATGCCAGTGTCATGAAGTCTTAACATTAAGGCATATTTGTTACTCATATCACTTTGTTTAGTAACATAGTAAGGTGTTGCACATCATAAATTAAATACAGTATTTAATGTATTTAATGTTCTGATGTAGCCAGAAGAGCTATCAATGAAATATCACCTACAGCAAGACTAGACAGGGAACCTGCATCCCGAAAAATACAGCAAAGGCATTTTTTGTTTGTTTATGGTTTTCTGATTGGCTCTGACTTTTTTTTTATAAGTATTTATTTTACTAAGGTTTATCATGGTGACTTCTCATAAGACAGAACCCCTTAATTGTAAACTAGTCTCCTGTTTGTTTCATCAGTAGTTCTGGTTGTATTTCTTCCATATTCTATTAAAAGGCAAATAATTGCAGTCATTTGTTCTGTCTAGAACTCTTGTGCTACTTCTAAGTTTGTCTTTGATGAAGAGATTTAAATCTTTTAATTGAAAGTGCTCAATTATTTTCAATTTAAGGTTATCCTTTCTCTCTCACCCTCTGAAATGTGGGATGCAGACAGGCATGTTTGTGGAAACAGAAAGGAATACAGAGATAAAGGACACCCCATCCCTCCCTCCTGTTCCACTTTAATTTTGCTCTGGGTAAATGCCCTCAGGTTGAAGAGATGAAAATGTTCCTTGACAGGAGCAGAAGGTGTGGGAGGAGGTTTGATAAAGCTGGAGCCCTTCTTCCCACACACATGGTCACCCAAACTGTTCTCTGACAAAGTTTCTTATGGCTTTGGCCTCCATCTTTCACTGGAAGGAGGCAGTGTGGGAAGAGAGGATCATGATTCCTTTCTTTGCAGAGTGAGAGAGCTAAACAACTGCTTTTCCCTCCTGAGTGGAGCCAAGAAGCTGCCTAACATGACTTTTTTCCCTCTTGTCTTTTAAAATGCTTTTGAAGAAAGGTGTATTAAAGTAAAACTGAAAGAATGTTTACAGGTTTTCAATGTTTTGAATTCTCTTTGGGACTGGAAATGTTTGTTCTGGGCAAAATGGCAGTAGGTCCCAAAGAATGCCAGGGGAGAAAGTTTGGTATATACAAAATTTCACTTTCCTGAAAGATAGCAATGATAGGTCTCAGGGTAAAAAAGAAGAAAAAAAATTCAAATTGGATAGCTGTCCATAACTGTAAAGAAGTGGAGTTTGTTTTCAAGACAAGAGTTTGTTTTCAAGGCAAATAAGACATGAGCAATTGAATATGAATATCTTGTTCTTTTTTTCCTCTTTATTATTTTTTTCAGTCTAGTTGAACCATTGCTGCAGCTATTAATGAAAGAAGTTATGGACCCAGACAGCAATTCTCCCACTGGGATAAAATTCCACTTCATTGATATCTATCTGGATGAATTGGCTAAAGTTGGTGCAAAGGAGGTTAGAAATTACTTCACAATTTTATTCCTGATTGATGTTAACTGTGGCATGAAGCATCTTAGAAGAAATGTCATTTTTAGATTATGTATAACAACACTGAGTAAGCATGAAGAAAGTGACTTACTACAAGTTACGCTTTTACTTTTATTCAAGTCTTTGACAGTGGGAATATGGTAGTTTCTATCAAGTTCCTGAGTACTGCTATGCTGCTCCAAACTGGTTGGAAAAATAGTGATAGAAAAGTTAGACTATTTTCATTTGTTTGTTTCAGAGGGGACTCAGTGTAATTTCCCTTGTGTGAACATGTTGTCCAGTCTTTGCTTTTGCAAAGGCTGACATAAAGCCTGCTCTTGGCTCGTTGTGTAACACCTAAATAGAGGAGGAAAGTGAGCTTTCTAAGTGAGTTGTCTAATATTTGCTTATAGTGCATTGTGCAGTTTATGCTTCCCATCCAGATGTTTGGTTTGCTGGTGACATGTCTTGCTCTGCTGTGACATTTAATTAAGGGCTGCTGGTCCAGTGGTGCAGAGTTTTGCAGCAGCAAAGCCAAGGAGCATCTCTCCTGTCCCTCCACCCTTCCTGCTGCCCCACGTTTATCCTGGGCTCCTCCTCAGTTACCTCCCCTTGTCTCTGGCCTCTGATATTTCTCTTTGCAATAGACAAAGCTGTCAGCAGTTTTCCATTCCTATTCCTTGCAGTCAGTATTCAAACCAATCCTGCCTGCAGATTTTGAGATCTGGATTGTGGATCAAGAGAGAAAAGTCTGCACCAGGGAAGTGTGGGCTCTTGCAGTGCAAATCATTTCTGCAGCTCCACAGTCACACAACTGTAGCTAAGCCACTCACTGGAAGCCTGGAGAGGGGAGTGAGTCCCCCAGACTATTTGAAATCACAGATGATGCACATAAATTGGATTTTGAAGGGAAGGGTCGTTAGCTCTTTTGTAGCTGAGAGGGTTTTGGTGCAAGCAGCCCATTTAAGAGAAACCCAAATCTTATTCTTGTTTGCTACAGACCTTTGGGACAGTACACAAAATTATTTAAGTTTCTCTGCCTCATGGTTCCTTATCTAAAGTAAGAATCTTTGATGTATTTCTGTACTCAGCAGAATAAATTCTGCAAGGCAGTCAGTGTTTTAATAATACTTCTGGGGAATATCTGGAAGTTACTGGTAGCAGTAGTAACAAAAAGCCCTGGATACCTCTGCCAGTTGGAATTAGATAATATACTGAAAGACTGTTAAAGAAAATCCCCAACACCAATTCCTGTACAAACACCAATATTCAAGGAATTTCAGTGTACACATATCAGCATTTTCTGTACTCATGTTTTTTTTCTTTCTAATCAAACAGCTCACAGCAGACCAGAATCTCAAGTTCATTGAACCTTTCTGCAAAATTGCCGCCAAATCAAAGGAGTAAGTTTAATGAAAGGATAAATATTTTTTAAGAATTAAAGATCTCTGAATGTGGTAATAAATGGAGCAGAGTCATCATTTCCGAATGTAGGGAAAGAAGGATATTTTACCATTAATGTGCACAGTCATTTGAAGATAACTTGTGTTTAATAAAGCTATGGATAATCTCCATGGATTTATAAGAACTGTATTACCTTTGCTGGTTAATTTGTCCAGTTATTTTATTTCTTTAATGCATAGAGCAGCTAAGCTGCTTCTTTGCAGTGTAATATAGGTCAGCATTTAAACATTTAAAATTAAATTTAAGTGGGGCACATTATCAGGACACTGCTTGGATTAAAGGACTTCTGTTTAGGGAGTAACAGGTTAATTTTCATCATCTGAAGAGTTCAGTGTTCTTCCACTTTCTTATTCATTTTCCCTCAATTTCCCACCTTTTTAACATGGGAGGGGAGGGTGTTTATGGTCTGCCTTTGGTCTCAACCTGCTCTGCTGTGACACAGTCGGCGTGTGCTCCATGCTGTGGTCGCTGGTGTCTTTGAGATGATCGTGGATCAGTCCCCCTTCGCCATCGAGGACCTGATGAAAGAGCTGGGCACCAACAGTGATGACGAGGATGTATCTGAAGAAGACAAACAGGAAAATGAAGAGATGCTTAAAACTAAAGGTAAGGAGGAGACTCTAAATTGCCCTGGGAAGAGTTGCAAGGATGGAAGAACCTGTTTCCTGAAAATACATTTCTGCTCTGAACCAAACAAACACATGTTCAGGGTGTTGTAAGGATAACTGTGTTTTCCTGTCTTACCCTTCAGATGTGCTTAATAAGGCTTGTTCTGTTGGAGTCACTATCTCAGACAAAGCATTAATATTCAGTCCTTTTCTATAATAGGAGACAGATGTCCATCAAGGAAATCAGCACAGAACTCTGAAGAAACAGAGGATATTGATGAAAATGATGATGGGATCGGGGCTGTTCTTCAGGTTTGTGGCTCTTTTGTTCTGTTACTGATATTTCTGCTCTCTTTTTTTCTCATCCCCTTCAAAAGGTGCAGAAATAAAGGGTGTTAATGGATAAACATGTTACAGAATTTTAATGTCCTTCTGATTTATTGTAAGGTGGTATTTATGTAATGTGTATTCTGGGAGTGGTAGTAAAAAAAAATCCATGTCTAAATTCCTCTCTCCCATACCTTCTGTTTTCTGCTCCTCCTTTCCTGTTTCAAGAGTTAAAAAATGTATGTGCTAAAAGCCAAGTCAGAGAGGGTGGTGAAGCAATCAGCCTATTTTCATTGAACATGGATGATGGGGTATGTAGGAGAGAGGGTAATATGTTACAATTTGGGTTTTCTGGACCCAGGGCCAGTGCAGTGTAGTAATTCTGACACATCCTCCCATCAAACACACATACAGGTGGATACACTTCATGCATCTGTGGCTTTTAAGCAAGAATTAGGACATGGCACACTTTAAATCTGATCTTTAGCTAACATTTGTGGGAATTTTGAAGTGGGTTGGCTTCTCTCTTGAGTAAGAATGAAGGTTAGGAACATTTAAGAAAGTGATACGGAGTTCAGCTGTTCCGTTAATGAAGCAGCCATCTGTACAAGTCCGTGTGTGAAGGGGGCGTAAATTTCAACAGAGGAAAACATTTCGGGTTTAAAGGAAGTGTCTGTTTCAAGATGTGTATCTTTACAATTTACCTATTGAACTTAATATTTGCTATATTCATAACACCACTTGCACTGGGTTATCCTGCATGGATAAACTGAGAACAGCTGTGTTGTACTTTCCTTCAACAGTTTGATTACAAGGCGGTTGCTGACAAAATCTTTGAATTTGCAAGCAAGAAAAATATACCTTCCCTGAACAGAAAGCGGTTGTACAAGCTGGTCAAAAAGTGAGTTCTGCTGAAATAAACCTTGTCCTAAGATAACTTTGGTTTTCTTTCTGCCCAGCCTCTCTTGTCTTGGTGACGTTGTCGTGCTGTTCCTCATTGGTACCAGACAACTGCAGCTGGGGCTTATCTGCACAGTGTGGGTTTGAACTGCAGGATGTGACATCAGGCT